AAACAAATAATCAAATTAAATATTAAAATGAATGGAGAAGAAAAACAAGTCCAGCTAAATTATATATTATATATTGACAATTTAAAGATAATGACTAATAGCCTCGATGAAATGGAAAAAGCACACAAATTAACTAAAGAAATATTTAATTGGATATGATTAAAAATTAATGTAGAAAATAGTTTGATAATGACTAATATTAATAGTCAAATAAATGGTGAATTAGCTGAATTACCAAGAGTAACTAATGATAATCCTTATAAATATCTTATGACTGAAATATGAGATAAAGTAAATATTAATAAATATTGTACAAGAATATTAAATGATATATCTTCTATTTTATCATCATTAATACTATGAAATATAGCATTCTCAATACAATAAGAAAGATTAATAATGATATAATCTCCAAATTAAGATATTGATTTAGTATTGTCCCATGGAAACTAGGAGAATTGGAGAAGATAGATAAACAAATAAGAAAGTGGTTAATACAACTCTAATTATAAAGTAGAAATATCCCAAAAAGTAGACTATATGTCAAAATAAATGAATTGTGAATAGGATTAATGTCAGCAAGAGATGAATGTTGTATTGAATTAATAAGAATATATTTAAAACATGAATATCAAACACAGAAATAGGAGAAATGATAGAATCAATAAAAGAAAGTCCAAATTGAATAATTAAAAGAATGAAGAAAGTATTTGGTAAGAAGATTAATTTTAATGAATTAATGAATATAATAGAACAATCAAAAGACAAAAATAAATAAAATAGAAGAAATAAAAAGATCAAGAGAATACAAAGACAAAACATGGTTGAATATTCATCTTTTTGTTTTTCTATTAAATGTTTATTGTATATGTTTTATTTGAATATATACTTATAGAAGTTGATAATCGTTAAATAAAAATAGAGAGTATATAAAAGATGGTTCCACAAAGTATTATTTCAAAAATATAAGAAAGATGTATAGACAGTTTAAGTACATAAAAAAATGAAAAGTAATGAATAAAAGAGTTAAGGAAAAGAACAGTTAAAAAATGGAAGTATTAGGATTATAAATAAATAAAGAAATAATTGGATATAAAACATAAAATTAGAGAAGATAAATAAAGAAATTAAGAAAAAAGAAGATGAAAAAAATTCTTTAAAATTCTACTCCCTTCTACTTATCAAAAAGAACTAAAAGAACTTAAATCAAGTACAACAGTGACGATGTTTATTGTAATATGTTTTATATATTTTTCAATTGTTAATGCTAAACTTATTTGTGGTGTTAAAAATACTAAAGGAGAGAGAGCTGAGTTTACTAGTTACGAATTAGATCAATGTTTTGAAAGTTCTAAAGAAGGTAATTATATTAAAGTTACTAAAATGGTTGGAGATTACAAATACATTACATATAATAAAAGTGGATGTGCTGATGGTGATAATGTCTCATCAATAGTTTTAACCGACTGTAATGAATTTGATGAACCGAGTTATAATTTAGAAGTTAAATATGATTTAAGTGGTACAGAGTGCAAAAGAAAAGATACATTTGAAAAGAGTTATATTAATTTTGACATTTGTATGAATCAAGATGGATTTAAAAAGTATTCAGTTGAAGATGGTAAACTTGTTACTTATGAATATAAAAATGATAAATGTGAAGATAAAATTGATAATTCTAAAGTTATTATTGTTGAAGTTGACAAATGTATAAGCGATGACAGTAGTAAATCTTCAAAATATTATGACAATAGTGCTTATTCTTTCTTAACACTTTTTGTTGTCTACATTTTATTCCTCATATTCTAATTTGATTTTTGAATAAATTACTTCTGTTTTTTTTTGTATTTTTAATTATACTTTTAATAAAAATTAAAGTAATAATTCAATTAATGATAATAATGAACGTAATTCATTTTCTATTGAAGGACAAAGTAATTCGTTTGGAATAAGAGGTCTTAAGTGAATATAAAATATATATAATTCTTCCAATGAATATGGCTTTGAATTTATTATAAAAGATAATTTTTTTAAACAATCAATAATAATATTTTGTTGAATTTCTAATGAAAATATATTAATAAAATAATTTAAAACTTTTAAACTTTGAATAATTTGATTGTTTTGAATTAATTGATAAATATACGATTTAATAGAATTTAATATTAATATTTGAATTTTAGAAGATTGAGTTTTATAAACTTCTTTAATAATAGGTATTTGATTCATTTCAATAAATTGAATAATATTTTTAAATAATTTCTTTTCAAGTACTTCGTTTGGAGTATCTAAAATAACTTCAATTTGAATAATTTCTTCAAAAGTAATGTCTTTTTTAATTATTTCATTAAATAATAATTTTATTTTATTTATTCCTTCTTCGCTCATTAATTCTTTATTTAAATTATAATAATCAATACACCATTTAACACTTTTTTCATTACTCATTTCTTTTAAGAATTGAATAAAAATAATATCACATTGTTTTTGAATTATTTCTTTAATTAAATAATCTTTTATCATTAATAACCGTGAAAATAATTCAAAATATGGATTTACACTTGTTTTATTACTCTTTTTCCATACAATAACATTTAATTGCATTTCTTCTAATGCTCTTTCAATAACTTTTTGAATTGAAAATTCAATAACATCTTTTCTTTCAAAATGACTTAAAACTTTCCATTTATAAATTCTTTCTACAAATTTAATACAGTCTTCTTGATCAATTATTCCCTCCATCCCTTCTCTTATTTCTTGAAATATTATTTTTCCTTTTTCATATAAATTTATTTCTTTATTTTTTCTTTCAATTTCTTCTTCATTAATTGCAGCTTGACTTGCTAATTTACTTATTTTTTGTTTACTTCTTTGTATGTCATCTTGAATATTTTGTTTTTTTTCATTTATTTTTATTTCAATGTCTTTCATTCTTTCTTCTAACATTATCATTTCTTCTATTTTTTCATTTGTTGCATCTTTTCCATAATGTTTTAATTTCATCTCAACATTTGTTTGTGGATTAATAAGATGTTCATTAATTCCACACCTTTCATTACTTTGATTAATTTCAATTGGTTGTTCAATTCCTTGTTCAAATTTTCCTGCTCCTTTTCCTTCACTCCATCCTAAAACTTTCAGCATTTCTTCTCCAATACCACCTACACTAATTGGAGATATTTCTGATTTACTAAGTGTGTCTGTTTTCTTTTTTTTAAGAGGAAGTTTAGTTACTTTTTTTTTTCTTTTAACAGGGTCGAAGTCATCTATACTAAATTGCATGAATTTAATATGATTATGTTAATTATTTTCTTTTCAAATTCTATTCTTTTTTTTTTAAAGTAAAAATTAATAAAATTATAATTAATAATAATAGATAAATAAATTATAATTTCTTATGGAAAGACCATCACTTGGTTTCTTCTATTTAACAACAACCTCAAAAAACTAGGTTGGTCAGAAGACATTGTGAGTCTATCTCTTTTTTCTTTTAAAAGAATTGATTTATTCTTCAAATGTTTTTGAGTCTGATTAATGTAGTTTAATTTGGCGTTATTTCTACATTCAAGATTTAAAGCAAAGGCTTTAAAAGAATTATAGTCTTCAACAACACTTAACTCTACAGTCATTTCTTTACTAACTTCATCTATTGGTTGGTTATCAAAACCACCTTTTAAAATAATATTTGCAATACTCTCTTTCCAAAATTTATCATCTTTTAGCATAAGGATATTAGAATGTAATAATTCAAATTTATCAGTTTTATTTAATTTCATTAATGTTATTGAATTAATTATCATAGAATGTTGTAAAAATCCAAGCAATTCATCAAGAACTTTTCTTTGTGCATTGTTAAATATAGACACTTGCCATTGGTATTCAGTATGGATATTATCTATTTTATTAATAGTAGTGTTTAAGTGAGCTATGTCATGAATAATCTCAACACCTTCAATATGGTCTTTAATTAGTGCATTGTCAACAATATTCTTAATACTTTCTAATCGACTAACTTTACCATCAGCCCAAATATCAAATATTTTACACATACCAATAATAATAACTTGTTTATTATAACTCATAGTTGATAATACTCTTTTCATATATGCTTCTTTATCCTTTTTTGCTTCTATAATATCATTTTCATTACCACTCATTTCTATTTCATAAAATTTTTTATATTTTTCTTTAATTTGAGAATGAAATGTTATAGGAATAAATGGAGTGGGATGAAGTTTTAATAAAAGCAATAATAGTTGTGAATTAACAACTGGTTCAGAAGAGGTAATTCCTTCTTCAAGATAATACATTGCCTCTGTCCATCGTTTAGGTTGAACATTTAAATCAAAGAAATCCTTATTAAGTGTTAAATTATCAGAAGTAAATACTGAATTCATTAATACTTCATATGGTTGTGGAATTGGATTTGATATTAATTTATCTGAATCAACTCCAAAACAATGTGTTTTAATTGAGGCAGTACAAAATGGTGCAATTTGATTTGATAATTTAATACAACCAGATAAAAGGTTTTGACATTCAGGCACCATAACAATCATGGGATTTTCTTTTGAGTCAGTTGACTCTACTAACAAAATCATTGCTTTGTCTTTTATTGAATCATAATAAAGTTTAATTTTATAATATCCTAGTGCAACAACAAAGGTCTCTTTTGAAGAATAAAAGAATAAAAATCCTTCACATATTATCATTTTATAACTCCTTAATTGAACATTAACAAATGAACTGAAACATTCTACTTCGTTCATATACACCACTTGTGATTTAATGCTTACTTCCATTTGGCTTAATGACGGTTGCATGAACCTACTTGGTATTAATACCAATTCTCCACCAGTTTTCATTAAATTCTTAGCAAATGGTGAAAGAAAATTAAATCTATCTTTGTTTGAATTTCGATACAAAATAGCATATTTCTCTTCATAAAATTCATCCTCTTGGATATCTTCTATTCCATAAAATTGTTTAATGATAATAATATTTTGAATAACTGGTTGTGTAGCATCAAGACATAGAGTACTATAATGAATAGTATCTTTATGGTTATGGTATTCAAAACACCATACTTTTACTTGAGTTATATCTTTAACAAGGGAAAAAATAGTGTCTTCATTTCTTAAATCTTTTGTTGTTTGAAAGACTTTTCCTATTGTTTCTGAAATGTTAATAATTTGCCCATTCGGTTGTTTTGGATTAGGAGAGAGCATAAAAATTCCATCTGCATAATTAAACTTAAGAAAATCACCTACTAACATATTAGTATTACATGGTATAATTTGTGGATGAGTATAAACACAATTTGTATTATATTTTAGTAAATGAATTTCATTATTAAAAACCATTGTTTTACGATGTTCTTTTTCTATTTGAATACTCAGTTGATACTCATTCTCCTCATTACAATTAATTTTAACCAAATGAGATTCAATCCATTCTTGCATTGCTTGGTTATGTCCAAATAAATAAGGATATTTTTGACATTGTACCCAATCAACTATATAATGTGCAAGTTGTCTACATTTTTCTACGTTGATTAATACAAATCCTCCAGATTGAATAGATGGTTGTGCATTTTTATTAATTTCAACTATTTTTCTAAGATATGTATTAACATAAGGAATGCATGCACCAGGTATCATATTAGAGTCATTCATTAATAATGAATCAATACTTCCATATGATTTAATTTGTCTAAAATTTTCTTTATCATTTTCATTAAGTTGCAAAAAGAGATGTTCTAATCTATAAATAGGGAATGAATCTAATGCAGTAGCAACTTCAACTAATCCATTCCAATTATTAAGGTCATTCATTCTAATTCCTACTTCAATAATCCTTTTTAATATTCCAAGTCTTTGATTTGGGGGAGCTAAAAGAATAAGTTGAACATACCAATGTTCCATCTTATTACGGTGTTGTAAAAATTTGATTATATTAGAAGCCGTATTCTCTCTATTAGAATTATTCCATGAATATAACTCACTGATATGAATTTTCATAAAAAGATCATATTCAATCAATGTAACTTGTTTAGCAAATACTATAGCAGGTATATTAAGAAAATTGAACTCAATTTCTTTTAATACTTGTTGTTCTTCTTCAGTAGTTGTTACTTTATTTTGAATTTGTTGAATGTTAATATCTTCATTTTGTTTATTATTTTCTATAACCTCATTAACTTTGGTAAATGGCTCTGTATTTATAATAGAAGATTCATTGAGTTTAGATGTTTTTTTACCTATCAAGAAAGAAGTTTTTTTAGGAGATGATTTGAGATATGGAGAATTAGGACTAGAATTAATGAAATAAGAAGGAATAGAAATACCGTTATCAATATGTATTGAATCAGTCGACATTAAAGGATGAGAAACAAAATTTGTTTTAAAAAGGTTATCAGTAAATATCATTTGAGTTAATGTTACATCAGCAGTAGTAGGTGGTAAAATGATTTTTGTTTGAGTTTTTGTAAGTAATAATTCTAAATAATTAGCTTCATTAGAATCAATTGAACGATGTAATTGGATAATATTTTTAACTAAAGAAATAGTTTCTTTATCTGAAGTAGTCATTACTTTACTCATAAATTGAATCATATTATTAATAATAACATTTCTTTGATCTTTATTTTTTTGGTATAATTCTAAAAAACGATTTAAAACCAAATTTTGATCTGCATAACATCGAAAAGTATAAATAAATGCTTCTCTTGTAGCAATATCAGAACATGGTTCACAAACAAATCCAATTAATGCATCAAGACTAGCATAAATAATTTTATTTCCATTAATAATAAACTCCCTCCTTCTTGTAGGAATTACTTGACTTTCACGAAAACGGTCTTTTCTTTTACAATTTATTGATGATTCTTCTTCCATTATTTTTAAATAGATCTTCAAATTAATTTTATCGTGTTTTTCTTAAAAATGCTATTTGGTATATTTTATTTATAAAGTTCCCATCAAAAAGAAAAGAAATAATAAAATATAATAAAAATAACTATAAATTATAATAAAATAAATACATCACTTACAATAATCCAAAATGTTAGAAGAAGATAAATACATATGTCAAAATAATTAATCTAAATTACAAATAGATAATTTCATTTTACCAATATGACGAATTTGTGTAATTTGAGCATCAACAAGTGAACAAATATTATTATTTGTAAATAACTCTGATTTAAATCCTTTTCTATATAATAAACATAACTTCTTCATATTTGTGTTTAAAATATTTTGTAATTCTTCGTATTGTTGATATAATTCTGTTTTTAGTTCAACCTTTTCAGAAGCATTATTATCATATTTATTCTTTAATTTATAAAAACCTCTTCCAATTGATTTTTCTTTTCCACTCTCTATTTGTGGGCAATGGTTGAATGCATCAAGAATTGCTTTCTTCCAGTTTTGTTGTTGAACTACCAAATGAATTTGCGTATAGCTCAAAGCAATAATTATGAAAGAACAAACAGAGTTTTAATCTTCCTAATAAATGCCAATGATCTGTAATAAAATCATAAATATCTGTTTTTAATTGAAAATATTCATTTAATGGTTTAAGACATCTAAGTGAAGAGAGTATAAGAACACATAATCGAGTAGTTTTAATTTTGGGGTTAGGAACAAGAAAATACTGTTGTTTTTTACAAATTGAACAATAACAAGTAAATTGTACATCATGGTTACTCATGGCAATTGTTAAAATACTTTAAACTCAAGTTTTTTCTTATTAAAATCAATCTGATTTAATTATGAAACACCGAAAACTGAGAAAATTTTTGCGATTTTTCTTTTTCTTTTTCTTTCCTACTTTATTTTCTTCCTTTTCTATTAATTATCTTCTACGTATATTTTCTTATTTTTTATCTTTTTTTCATCTTTTCTTATCATCTTTTTATTTGTTTCTATTTCTTGTTTTTTGATTAAAACAAAAGAATCACATCTTATGTTCAGTATTTATCATGAAAATAAATTTGGTGGGATATAAATCTCATTCATCTATGAGTTAATGATGGTAATTATTTTTAGCTTTTTCATCTTTTTTTCTTCGTTTATTTCTTTTTTTTGGAATTTTTAATAACAATTTTATTTTTGTTATTCGTATAACAATACTATTCTTTTTCTTTTCTTTTCTTTCTACATTTTGTTTTAATATAATCTATTTTTAAGTAGATTCTTTATTCTCAATTATTGGTTCTAAAAATGAAAATTTAATTTGTAAAGAGTATTGACATTAAAAAATTATTTCAGTTGTGTTGT